AATGACAAAAAAAAAGAAGTAAGCTTATTTCTTTTTGATTAGGTGGATGCTGAGCAGTACTATGGGGAGCTAGAGGAGAAACTGACAGATGAGTTTAATGCTGAACGCAGCCGGATTGCTCTCAAGCGTCTTGACATGGCCTTCGTCACATTCCAGGATGAAAGAATGACAGCCACGTGAGTCTTCCTAGTACAAGGCCAACCCAAGCCTTTGTTATCTGAGGCTAAGAAGTTAATGGATGGGCAGTGGAATCTTTACAGTACTTTAAAATTAGCAATACGTTTCTGCCACAGTTGAGACTAAAGGATAATTTAGAGAAGATTTTTTTTTCAAACTTGACAACTTTAGGATGTGTGGACTTCAACTCCCAGAATTCCCAGCTGGCATCTTAAAATTGGCAGATTTGAAAAACACTGACTCAGAGGGTCAACTGCAAACTTTGTGGCATACACGATTCTCTCCTTCAAGGGAAAAAGATAGCTGAGTTAAATTATCGCTACTGCTCTGCAGCCTATTCTAGCTAATCATTGCTTTGTTTTTTTCCAGTGGTAGGGCCAGACCTGATTACAAATCATTTCCAAAGGCAAAAGTAGATAATTCAATTGCTATGAAAGGCCTCATTCTCTCAGCAAAAATTTATTCAGGGCTTACAGGCTGCTTTATTGGTCCTCCTTTTCCCCTTCTCCTATTTCTCCTTCACTCAAAGGCTATCAGGAATGGTATCAAATCCATTTTGAATACTGGCTGCAGTGGGAAAGGGGTCTTGAAATTAGGTGGCCATCCGTGCTCTTAAGATATTTTGACAAGAGGGTGTTTTATATATTTTTTATTCTGCTGCTTCTAATATACACCATCTGTTTCGTACCATCAATAATATTTGGAATCCCCACATAGCATTGGACATTCTTGTATACTGTACAAGTTATATTTCTTTGGAGTTTTTTCCTCCATACTGCCAATTATTATATATTCATGACAAAATGCCATCATTTTCTCTGGAATAGGTGGCTCCAGTCCTATCATATCTGTCAAAAGACAGAAGGTGAATAATTTAGTTTTTTTCAAACCGAAGCATTGTAGTTTGTCAAAAAGAATTAAATATGGCTTGTAATGCAGCCAACGTGGCATCTTCTATTGCCTTGTGTTGCCCACTCCACAGCAATTGAAGGCTAATGTTAGAACTGAGGATTTCCTTCAGTGAAGATGGATTATTTAGCACTGAGGTTACTGAAGTTTGTGTAACATGCAGAGAGATCTGTGGTCCCATCCATGTCTTGGCCAAAGGTCACCAATTTTTTTTTGTTTAAAAAGTGGAAAAGATGTACTGTTTTTGACCAAGGCCACTCACCAGAACTTGAAACTGCTTGCATACTCAATACCACAGAGCTATATAGCAGGTGCCAACCTCAAGGCTCTAAGCCAGGGGTAGTCAACCTTGGCTCTTTTATGACTCGTGGACTTCAACTCCCAGAATTCCTGAGCCAGCACAGCTGGCTCAGGAATTCTGGGAGTTGAAGTCCACGAGTCATAAAAGAGCCAAAGTTGACTACCCCTGCTCTAAGCAATTATTTTGACCTTGATAGCTCCTCTATTAGCCCTTTGGGACCTGGATCATTTTCAATGTACATTGTTTTCTTTAATCTTTGGGCTCTTTTGGTCAATCTTTAAAGTGATCATATTGGCTTCTAGGCTACCATCATATCAAATTGCTCTGCAAAGACACATAATCTCAGTGTGTTCATTCACAGACAGCCACTCGAAGAACTGCAGTTATAAATAAGTGGCCAGTTCTTCTTTATGTATCTCTTTGTACACTATATTTCCACTGATGTGGGGTAACTGAGAGAACATGTTTGAAAATTATGCATTCTAGGTAAGTTCTTCTTCAACAAGACAATGTTATATCCAAGTTTACAACCTTGAATCCCCATAATTGCTATTAGTATTTCACTGACAAAAATCCTGGTATATGAAATTTCTCAATACTTTGAGTATATAGGAAAGCTGTTTCAGTTTAGAAAGGATTCTTTCATTAGTCACTGTGTTAGATTAATGCAAAATCCATAATTCATGTCATTTGTGCAGTGACATCGTGATTCATATGATGTCACTTACCACCTATGCAGGCATCCATCCCTTTAATTAAGTCAGCTATAATGCCTTGCCTTATTACTGCTATTCCACCGTGGCAGCATTAACAGATATCCCTCTATTTTTTTATTATTCTGGAACTATTTGATGGTTGCATTTGGGTGATACTCCATGTCTAACTTAAATCTCCCTTAATATTTAAGATCAGATGTCCATTTGGGGGCATTGCTGCTTCTTAAATCTTTTAGTTTCATGCACTAAGATGAGCATAGTTTATTTCATGCTATGCCTGAATCTAAGTGTGCAAGTCTATTGAGACATTTGCAAAAGATAGAAAGGATATAAATGGGTTAAACAAAAAAAATGAATTGGTAGCTAACCATGTAGCTAAAAGCATTGGACTGGATAAGGCAATCAACATGATTTCTTAAAAAAATTCCAACACAAACAAGAGGAACCTAGCTAGTTAATTCTCCCTCTTAATTCTTTTTTGGTTTCCCAGTATTTTAAAGGATTACAGTCGCATCCGCTGCCGCAAGCATCCACAACAGTCATCTGTTACTACAGTGGTGAAATCCCATTGCTGGGGTGTCAGCTATGCCCCTGCGCCCAATGACATCATCTGGTAATTTCTCTTTTTTCTTCTCCCAGCATGTAAAAATCTGTAAAAAAAAACATTGAAATGTTAAGTTCTCCCATTATAAGTGTTATATGTTTCTTTATTAGCCATGGGGGGGGGGGTGATTGTTATAACATACAGTCTAGCATATTTCAGGAGAAATATATTGTTGAAAGCATGCCTAGGAGTGACACTAAGTGCAAAAGAAGTATTGAACAAATCTTCTGTACTGCTTGTAAATATTGGTGAATACAGTGTTTAGTCCAGCTGTTCATTACACAGCAATTGCAATTTTAGATTTTAGACAATATTGTGATGGTCATGATTTTTTTGTGTAGATGTTCATGTGGCTTTTATTGTTATTTTCTTACATTGTTAATGTCTACAAATTGTCCCACACAGGAAAGGAATTATATAAACAAATTTTGCCCTCAGACTAGTTTAAAAAGAGAACCAATAAATGCTTAGTTCAGCAGAAGTCATCTAGTCCTAATTTGTTGTGAAAGATTTCCTGTGCATAATTTGTAGTTTTTAAATGCATGTTGTGATCTATGTACAAGTCATAAAAGGACAAGGGGTGGAAGTTTTATCTTGAATCAAGCCCTAACATATTGGTATTGGACAGTGTTTCCTTGCCTTTGTTGCATACAGTCTCCAACCCCTGCTTTCTTTCTCACAGGGAGAATTTATCTGTTGGTGGTGCTTTGTGGTGGGTGAAATTTGTCCTGCTCAACATCTGCCTTTTCCTCCTCCTCTTCTTCCTCACTACTCCAGCCATCATCGTGAACACCATGGACATGTTCAACGTTACACGGCCTGTGGAGAGCCTCAAGGTGCATAGCACAGCTGTGATTCCTTACTGACCCTGAAGCGTTATTTCAGGCGGGATAACATCTCACTCCCAGACTTTTCGGTCTTCCATGCTTAGTCACACTCCAGATAAATTGTACTTGCCTACCTACTAGTTAGGCCGTGATAATTGCTCTAGTCAGACTTCTTAATAATGAAATGCTGCCTGGGTAGACAACACTCTCCGAGAGGTCCCCAGCAGCATACAGGTCAAATAAGGTATCGCAGGAGGTAAAAAATGTATAGAATTGGAAATAATCTAATTTACAAATGAGAACCAAGGAACCCTTAGGTACAAAACATGTAGTCTATAGAGTAGCTTCTCCCAGGATCAGCTGAAGATCCTAATCAGTTTGCAGGTGAGGAACAAATTAGTGTGGCCACTAATCTGTGCTGTTTGTAGGGATAGGAAAATGGCAATTGTCACTGAGTTCAATGGAAGAAAGGAAAAAGCCCCATAACTTCCCTTTTCTTTCTGATTACTTTCTCAAGAACTAGAATTCTACCTCCCCCCCCCCCCAGCTTGGAGCAGAAAACTGGTGATCTACAAATGGGGTGGCTAGGATGAAGAAAGATCTCATGACTTGTCCCTCACTACAGCTCTGCTCAAGACTGTTAGAAAGGAGGAAAATTTGCTTTCTCTCCCCCCCCTAACCATGCCCTGCAAGGATATGTCTAGTGTAGTGCAAATTTGTATGTGTGTACACACACAGGCTCACCCTATGTTTCCATCTGAGCAAATGAGCGCCAATGAGCCAGAAGGATTATTCATCCCGATTTAAAAACTCCTTGCTTGATGCTGCCTCGTCAATGCAGGCTATATCTTTAGTTTGTAGTAGCAGAATGACTTAATATTGAAGGTACTGTTGGAATGATATAAGTCAGGGGTAGGCAATCTTGGCTCTTTTATGACTCGTGGACTTCAATTCCCAGAATTCCTGAGCCAGCATAGCTGGCTCAGGAATTCTGGTAGTTGAAGTCCACAAGTCATAAAAGAGCCAAGGTTGACTACCCCTGGTATAAGTGATCTTCTCCTGTGTAGAAAGAAAGAGAAAGAGCACAAATCTAATTCTCATCCTTTCCCCTTGAATTTGCCTTTATTGTATCACAGTTATAGGTAGTCCTTGACTTATGACCATTTGTTCAAAGTTACGATGGTACTAAAATCAGTGATGCATGACTGGTCCTCACACTTACGATCATCACAGCATCCCCCTCATGTGCTTTAGGCACTTGACAACCTGCTTATATTTATGACGGTTGCAGTGTCTTGAAGTCATGTGATCATGATTTATGACCTTCCTTGCTGGCTTCTGACAAACAAAGTCAATTGGGGAAGCTGGATTTGCTTAATGCCTGTGGTAAAAATGGTCGTCAGATTGGGTCTGGTCATGTTTTAAAAAAGAACAATGGAATTTTTTGGTGGTTAGCTTTTTTGGAAAGGAACCTCATTTTGAAAGTTCTTTAATAAGAAATGGATATCAATTGCAAATACAGTGATACCCTGTTACTCAGTTGCTTTGAAGCCCATCGAATTTGGTGTTCAATCCATTTTGACGCAAAAATTTTGTCCTGGTACTCATCGTTTGCGTGATACTCCGCACACAAGCTAGAACTTGTCAGTGTCGGCTGCCTTGTGGCTCACTACATTATTCCTAATGAGAAAAATTGGTTTGGTACTCACTGCACCTCCCAGATCCAATTAACAATGAGTACCGAGGTACAACTGTACTGTGTTAGGCAAGTTTACATATTCAGAATATAATTATTTTTTTCATGTAACCCGTAGCAAATAACATCAAGACAGATGTTACTGATCAGAAATTTTTCCAGTGCAAACAAAAGATCCTGGTGCAAGCTGACATTTTTCTCTAGGCACTTTAGGGTCTGTGACAAGTAGTCTAATTTCATCAAAACATTTTCCACTTCAAAATATTCCAGTAAATCAAACCTCACCAGTTACAATCCTCAACGCAGAAACAGAGGAAGAAAAGAAACCCAGGGTGAGCTACCAAGCAAAAGAAAGAACACATCTTAGAACTTTTTGGGAAATTGTATGGAGAAAAAGTTCCTGTTTTTGAAAAACACTTGGCTTATCCCCTTTCTCTCTCACCTTCCAGAACCCTATTGTGACTCAATTCTTCCCCACACTGCTGCTGTGGGCGTTTTCTGTGTTTCTGCCTTTCATTGTGTACTACTCAGCTTTCTTCGAGACACATTGGACCAGGTAATTCCAATTTTCTTTTATCACATTGCTACATTTTCAGAGTTTCTCTGGGAATCTTATCTTGCCAGAGCAACATGTAAAAAAAAAACGGATAAATATTCAGGGGAGACCGAGTATCCAGGTATATATTGTTTTGATTTATTCTTTGTCACGTTTCCATTGCACCTATATTTGGAAACATTCTGGATAAACTTTTTCTTACTCTGGCGTTGAGGTGTTTACTTTATTTCTGTGTCTCAGTCTTCCCTTCTGGAACTCTGTCCTCCTTCTAGAACAAAAAAATAAGCAAAACAAAATTGTTTAACCAAACTTAACTCTGCAAAGAAATATAGGCACATGGGTTAATTATGCATATTATTGACAATTTTGTGGTGAAAACATTTCGAAACGTTTTATTGATTATGTAACATTTTGAATTTTCTCCTGAAGAATTTGTGAGGTTTCTTTTCATTGCTGTTCTCTCTCTCCATCCCCCAAATAAATGCATTTTTATTTCCTTTAGGTCAAGTGAAAATCAGATCACAATGCACAAGTGTTATTTCTTTCTGGTATTTATGGTTATCATCTTGCCTTCACTTGGACTGACCAGGTACAGAGCAAAATTGCAAATGCTCCATATAGATCTGGTTTTCATTATGAATAGCTCATGATAATACAACGGAATTGTTTTTTTAAGCACCAAGCTGAGTGTGGTGGTAAGTGTAAAGTGTTGGTTGGCCCTGGATGCAGGCCCTCATACTGATAATCGTTTCCTTTCCTCTTTGATATACTGCCCATATCAAATTATATAATATTAAATTAACTGGACAGTAGTTTAAGGATACTTTTAGACAAGGGTTTATTTCTTTTTATGGACATATTACTTACACTGCAATGAAGTATCTATGGAGATTCTCGGTCATCCAGGTCATAGTTGTCCCAAAGATGCTTTTTCACAAGGCAAATGGACTCTCTTGTTTTGCTTTGAAAACGTTTCACTTCTCATCCAAGAAGCTTCTTCAGCTCTGACTGGATGGTGGGGAATGGAAGGATTTATACTCTTTGCAGACAGTTGGTCATTTGCATTCTTTTAGAGAGTCGTTGAGGCCACTTGGAGGTTTATCTGGGTCCTCAGGGTCACCTGAGTAGTGCAAATGGCTGTGGAGCTTCTTGGAACTGCTGAAAGGACTGTGTTGTAGACTGGAGATAGATGATGTCGTATCCCTCCCCCTATGTTGAGAGAGGGCTGTTCAGTTTTGACATCAATGGCCTCTTTGACCCCTCTTTCAAACCAGCAGTCCTCTCTGTCCAAAATGTGGACTTGGCTGTCTTCAGAAAAGTGGCCTTTGTCTTTTAGATGTAGATGGATTGCTGAATCTTGTCTTCAAAACGTCTTCAAAGAAAAACAAGAAAGTCCAGTTGCCTCATAAAAAAGCATCTTTGGGACTCTAATAAAGTGTGGTATCAGAAAATGGGCTTAACGGAAATAAAACTGTTCCAGTCATATTTGCCTACAAAAGATGTGGGCTTATCTCTGGGCTAATTGTCCATCCTGCACTTTCACTCATCACATAGTATTATTTCAGCCCTTCATAACTGAGTGTCCTTCCCTATGTGATTGTTCACATCCATGGCTGGGAATGCAGACAAGCAAAAAGTTTGAGTATGATTTTGTTAATAGATAAACTAAATACTTAACAATGTCTCATAGGAATATTTCATATAGATATTCAATGGGTTTGTTCATGTTTCCAAATTATCCATTGATGTTACTTTAATGTGCAACATCTGTTCAACATCATGAAAGCTTATGCCTTTTAATAAAATTTGTAGTCTGAAAAGGCACTATCAAGTTCCCTCTGATTTTGGGATATCATGACTCCCATATTGTTTAAAATGTATGTCTGACTGCTGGCATTTCAGTCATGGCCTACATTAAAAATGCTATACAATAATTGTGCTCAACCGATCCTTGGAAAAAAGGAACACAAACACTTTTGAAAATGGGAATAGCAACAGAAACAACAATGTGCCAGCAAGTAATACATTATTAAATTAGGCAGCTAAAATGATGCACTAAACGCTTTCCTAATTTTTTTTAAAAAATCACTAGCTTCTCAAAGGCTATGAACAAGGTCCCACATAAATATTTCACCTACTCCAAGCTTCTGAAAACATGCAGAGTAGCTGATCTGCTGCCAAGTTGGAATAGTATCATCATTACAAAACAATCATAATTTCCTGCTTCGTGCCTTCAGTCTTTGAAACCTGATTCCATTATATACAGAGGGAGTATGTTTGCTGTGTTAGAGATGATAGTTTTTCAAAATGAGAAGAGAAGCTGCTTACTACCTTCACACCATCTCCACAAACCCACCCACCCCCATATTATCCAACCTGTTATTTCAAATTTATAGGAACTATATCTTCCTGCACTGAAATATTAATTGCTACCTTCCATTTGACCACAACATCATGTTTGCTGTTGCTAATTAAAAAGAGTTAAATTAGCTTGGTCGCATCTCTCCGGAAAACTTGTTCTCATCCTCAAGCTGCATACGCTGAAATATGCCCATTTTTACTGAACCACAATAGGGTTCAGGTATGGGTGTTTTTTAAAAGAGTAACAAGCTTATGATGCCTTCTGTTTTTCTTTGTTTCCCCTTCCCAGTTTGGATCTCTTCTTTCGCTGGCTATTTGACACTCACTTTGTGGATCAAGCAGAGATAAAATTTCAGTAAGTGTCGTTGAGCGTTGTGAGTGTGTTGTGAGATGGGTCACCATTTTTAATTTGTGGGATGCTAGTGTCTTGTTCGCACAAAACACATGAAGGCAAGTGGGTCGTTACGATTGCATATGGCCTTCCTCAGGATATAGTTTTGTTATGTTATGCTCTCTCTTTCTCCCTCTCTCTCATGCACACTTTCCTGGATTTTTTTTGATGCAGGTGTGTTTTCCTTCCCGATAATGGTGCTTTCTTTGTCAACTATGTTATCACTTCCAGCCTGATTGGGACAGCCATGGAACTATTACGAATCCCTGGACTCATTGTCTATGCCACACGGCTCTGCTTTGCCAAGTCTGAACCTGAGCGGCTCCACATCAAGCGGGTTTGCTGGGTTTTTATTTTGGAGATTTGAAACCTTGCTGGTAGGATTAGAAGGCTAAGTGAATGGCTGGGATTAGAAGGCTCCTGAATGGCTGGGATTATGTGTCAATAGGTCATATCCAGCAATACTCTTAAAGTGGTGCCATAAATTTCTAGATTTCCCCTAGTGAGGCAATTAAAGTTTTTATGGAGCCAGAACCTTACGAAATGTTGTTTGAGAACAGACTGTGTTTAATCATGGCTTATTTTCTTTAGTCCAGTAATGGTCCCATCTCATTCAAACATAATGCTAAACCATTATGCATTGTTTATGTCTTAGTAAGATGTATCTAAACTCTCCCATGATGGATTAGCATTATTGCAAGTCAGTCTTTGTAGCATGATATCACAAACCATGAACAGAAACATCCTAGTTTAGTTTTGGGCATGAGTGTAGCGATGACATTATGATGCAATTTACAGGAGCTACTTTTCAAGCGAGTTTGGCTCAGGGAAGGCACAGAATCATAGTTTGTTCGGTGAAGAAGTTAGGCTTGATTGTTGTTACTAAGAACCATGGTTTTGAAATGGATTAATAACAGGGTTGTTATCAAGAGTTGGTAATATGTGCCCATCAATGTCCAGAAATCCTTCCATCCATCCTGGATAGTATTTCTGGATCCTCTAAAATTAAATAATTTAAATGTTTAGTTAAACTATTGAAATCTTGTGAAATCACTATAAATATATATATTTTAAGTTGTGTGAGAGTTGTTACCTAAAAAAAGGGCAAACTCTGCACAAAGAAAACAAACTACTGTTAACTGCACAGGATCCCTGAGATTGCTCTCCCATCCTGTCACCATTCATTTATTTTCATTCATAATAAAATTAAAGGTAAGGTGCACTACTGTGTTTTCCTTTAGAATCAAGCCTATGAGTTCCAGTTTGGACTGGAGTATGCCTGGACATGCTGCATATTTGCTGTGGTGATGACCTATAGTATCACCTGCCCCATTATTGTCCCATTTGGTAAGTAGGTGCACAATTTCTTCAAAATTCCTATTGTTGTCAATAACATCTTTAGAGGTCTGGACTCCAGCTGGTTGTAATTTAAGGAAATACTGCCCAATAAACAAGCAAATACAAGCCATGGCTGTTGTCAGCCTTTGGGATGATATCTCTTAATGGGCTTCTGTAAATGGAATCAAAAAGCTATTGAGGTAGAGACCTGTTGACCTATAAAATAAAAGTGAAATGTACATTATTCTGTTCATTTCTAATAGGCAGTAAAATGATATACAAATGACATACAAAAGAATATAGAAATGATAGCCGAGTAGCAGTAATTTCTCCAAATAAGAATTATTTGGGGCAAAAATTGGGTTTCAACACATTGCAAAATTTTAAAGTATGTTATTAACAAACACATCCACTGACATTTAGCCAGTCTTACTCCAGAATTGCTATTTGCTACAAAGAACAGTAGCTTTTTCTATAATAGCCCTTTTTCTGGGCTTGAAGGGAAAGAATTGTTTATTTTTGCCAAGCAAGTAGTGTAGGAGAAACAGGTAAATCCTTCCTCCTTTAGTATTAATCTAAAACAAAGGCCCTAATAGGAAATGAACAAAAGTACAAAAATGAAAACACACATTTATGATATTCTCTAGGTTGATTCTGATTATTGATATAATTGATCCCAAGGAATGAATTTTTATGCAAGAGAAGAGCTACAGAACATAAATAAAAGATGAGGATGAGGATGTTGCTGTGTTGGTAGGGTATAATACAACTGTTGGAGTCATTTACTCAAGATTTTTTTTCCAGCACAATTCCTTGGTAATCTTTCAAATGTCACTAGTGAATAAATCTTTCACATGCAAGCAGATGCTGTACTACTGCTGAACTATGGTCTCTTCCAGCCTTTTCTTTCCTGTAAAATATTTCTGGGCCAATCTCCTTGTTATCCTCCCAGCTACTGCTGTCTCCTCTGAGTAGCCATTCTTCATGCCCCAATTCTTCCATCTCTTTTCACACAGGTTTGCTGTACATGCTACTGAAGCACATGGTTGACCGCTACAATATTTACTACGTCTACATCCCTACCAGGCTGAACCACCGTATCCATTCAGCAGCAGTAAACCAGGTGGTGACAGCGCCCATTCTCTGCATGTTTTGGCTGCTCTTCTTCTCCATTCTGCGTCTAGGTAAGTAAAGTTTCACCAAGCCTTCCGTGAGCTATACTTGGACTAATTAGCCTACACCAACTGTCTCCAATCTTGTACCCTCCAAAGTATGGGACTGCAGTTCTAGCTATGCTGGGTGGAGAATTTGGGGAATTAAAGTCCATTCAGCTGGAGAAAGACAAGATGGAAAAGCCCTCAAGCCAAAGGGCTTGTTCTGTTATTTAGGCAGATCTATTACAGCTAAGCTCTTGGACTTCTTGAGACTCTGAATGCAGAGTTATGTTTATTGTACTTCTTAGAGTGAAAACTCTTCAGTTTTTCTATATAAATGGTTTAGAACTAAGATGGCAGGTTCATCAGCTATCATTTTATGCACATTGAAAATGTAAGGAGTTCATGCCAGATGCGTGCTTATGCATGTGCCAAAAACCTATTAGTCTCTGTGGACTTGGTGCTGAAAAAGATGTTTTCCTACTATTACATGGAACTGCGCATAGTACAACTGATCCCAAAATGAATTAAGGCACTTGAGAATTAGATAACACTTCAGTTAAAGGAGAATTTGTGTGTATATTTTGGAGCAGAACTGCAGCATTCATTTCTTGTGTTCTTCATGGCAAGCTGTAATGGGCACTAGGAATAACCCTGAGGAAGAGGAGAAAGCCACAGTCAAATCAGTGGTCAGATAAAAGAAATTGAGCCTGGGCCAGAAAAGCAATTTAAGACTTGGCAAACATGACACTCCCTAGTTAATTTAAAGTGTACATGAATTTGTTAATGGGCAGGCTTGAACAGAATAAGGAGCTAACAATCATTCCTTGAAGTTTAGTTTTAGAAGCAGTAATCAGTAGTATGTAGAGAGCCCTCATGCAGATGGGATGAGCTTTCTTCCTAACACAAAAGGCCTCTGAGTTGCCAGCTGCTAGTCTACCATGAACCGTAGGCAGAGGAGGCAGTGAGAATGGGTGCATTGTGCCAATCTGTTTTTCTCTTCCCCAATGCTGTAGGCTCTGTTCGTCCCATTACCATTTTCACCTGTGTGGTTCTTCTCTGCTGCATTCCCTTTTCCTTCTTTGGTCTGTGCCTGAAGAAGTTTCATCCAAGGAAACCTTCCAGCTATCAGGTAACCGTGCATTTGTTTCTTGGCTTGTACAGTATCCAATGGGACACCTTCATGGATCAGTCTTTCTTTCCCATCACAGTCCCCAAATCTACTCCAGACCTTGAGAGACTCTCTGGAGCCAATTTGGTGAGACACAAAAGAAGGAGAAAAACAAGAGAAACTTTTATTGTACAAGTGGAAATCAGCTGACAACAACATTGGATCTTTGTGGCTGTTTCTTATAATTGTTTGTGACTAGTTGCCACTAGAGAGGCAAAGCATGAAGACATGGTTCTAATTTTAATTTCTGGATGTAATAACACATAGCTAACTATTATTTTATAACTATTCCCCCCCCCTCCTTTTCCCCTCCTTTTTCCTGTAATGCAGTTCTGGGATGAATGCCCCATCTATTCCTAAACAGTTAGAAATCCAGTATTAACAGATGTATGCACTGAGTATGCCAAATAACATATTGATGATAAAAATCTTTAAAGACAGAAAAGGGCCTACAGGTCCAGAACTCCTACTGTTTCCGTTCTGAGAAGCAATTTTTGATGTACTCAGTGAAATAGTCAAAGTTCAAACAATTATGTGTTTTTCTTGCATCTTTGTGGTTCCCAAACATCTCAGAAACTTAGTGGAGTTCCAGTTAATTATAAAAAGTAATATAAAAAAGTATGTATAAAGTACCAGATTTGTGTTTATGTGTAGGTAGATAGGCATTATTGTTTCTGTGATAGATTTCTTGATAGTTTACTTTCTATCATTCCTTTTTGGCTATATTAGTTTTCTAAACATTATTTTTGTCATACTGCATTAAGAATAGATTGAATCACACACAAGTTTTCCTTTCTTTTTTAAATTTCAAGTCAGTGTAGTGTTCATAAAATACTTTTTCCCCAAAAGTGTTAACATGCACTTTCTTCTTCTTTCATTCTGTTAATCTGCTTTATTTATCAGAGGTTTAGAAAACAACATGCCAATGATAGTCCCATCCCCATTTCTTTCTCACAACTACTTTTGTGAGGTAGTTTATCATTAAAACAGTAAGTGTCATTAATTAATAGAAATTTGAATCTAAGTGGGTTCAAACATTAACCATTAATTGTTTAATTAAACCACAGTAGCTGAACTCCTATATTAACGTACTAATACAAAATGAAATGAATCACATTGTAGATTAATGTTCATAAAGAGAGTTCATAAAGAACTCTCTGATAAATTGAAAAACAAAAAGGACAAGTATAAAAAGTGGAAAGAGGGGTACATAACTAAGGCAGAATATCAGCAAATAGCCCGAGCCTGTAAAGATAAAGTGAGGAAAGGTAAGGCTCAAAATGAACTAAGGCTTGCAGCAAAAGTCAAAAATAACAAAAAAAAGCCTCTTTCAACATGTAAAAAAACCAGGTGACAAAATTAATGGGCCAGAGGAATGCTGTGGATATAATTTACTTGGACTTCAGTAAGGCATTTGGTAAAATAGACCACAACCTACTACTTGATAAGATAGAAAAATGTGGGTTAGACAGCATTACCACAGATGGATTCATAGCTGGCTGACTGGCCATATTCAGCATGTGCTCCTCAATGGAATTGCATCTACATGGAGGGAAGTGTGTAGTGGGGTGCCCCAGGGCTCTGTTCTGGGCCCAGTGCTCTTCAACATCTTCATCAATGATTTGGATGAGGGGATAGAGGGGGAAGTCACCAGCTTTGCAAATGACTCCAAGCTGGCAGGAATAGCCAACACTCCAGAAGATAGGCTTAAGATACAGAAGGATCTTGACAGACTTCAACATTGGGCGTTATCTAATGAAATGAAATTCAACGGTGAAAAAAATAAGGTTCTACATTTAGGCAAGAAAAACCAAATGCACAGGTACAATATAGAATAGATGGTACCTCGCACAATAGTAGTAACTGTGAGACGGATCTTGGAATCCTAGTGGACAATCACTTAAATATGAGTAGTGTGCTGCAGCTTCCAAGAAAGCCAACACAGTGCTAAGCTGCATTAACAGAGGGATCGAATCAAAATCACGTAAAGTGTTAATACCACTTTATAACACCTTGGTAAGGCCACACTTGGAATACTGCATCCAGTTTTGTCACCATGATGTAAAAAAGATGTTGAGAATCTAGAAAGAGTACAGAGAAGAGCAACAAAGATGATTAGGGGACTGGCGGCTAAAACATATAAAGAACAATTGCTGGATTTGGGTATTAGTTTAATGAAGAGAAGGACCAGGGGTGACATGATAGCATGTTCCAATATCTCAGGGGCTGCCACAATGAAGAGGGAGTCAAGCTATTCACCAATGCACCTGAAGGCAGGACAAGAAGCAATGGATGGAAACTAACCAAAGAGAGAAGCAACCTAGAACTAAGGAGAAATTTCCTGACAGTTAGAACAATTAATCAGTGGAATAACCTGCCTCCAGAAGATGTGAATGCTCCAACACTGGAAGTTTTTAAGAAGACACTGGACAGCCATTTGTCTGAATTCTCCTGCTTGAGCAGAGAACTGAATTAGAAGACCTCCAAGGTCCCTTCCAGCTTCTATTCTATTCTATTCTATTCTATTCTATTCTATTCTATTCTATTCTATTCTATATTCTATTCCATTCCATTCTATTCTATTCTATTCTATTCTATTCTATTCAATGTTTCCTGCCTGAGCAGGGGATTGGACTAGAAGACCTCAAAGGTCCCTTCCAACTCTATTATTATTATTATTGGTGTTGTTGGTGTTGTTGTGCAATATATAAACTATGTGCTAGTTTATACTGGGTGGATGACCCATGGATCACATATAGTCCCTAACACCTGAGATGTGCTGGCCAACTTCAATGGAAAAATGAGCAATTTGTAACTGTTTTTCAAATGATTGCTCTGGCGTAGAAATTTTTAAGGACCCAGATGGTTAGACTAGAAGACCTCCGAGGTCCCTTCCAACTCTATTATTATTCTATACTACTCCATTTCAAATCCCCACCAACAAAGGGCCAAAGAAATTAGTCCTGTTCCTTCTAGTGACAACCTATGGTCTACTCTGGTCCTCCAAACCTTCAAAAGTTGCCTACACCTCAACATGCATTTTTTTGTTCAAAGAGGTTTTTGAAATAACTCAAATATCAGATTATCATGCTCTGCTCACAGGGACTGTGAAAGGGCTGCATTTACTGTATAAATTATTGTTAAGCTTGATCAGCATTTAAGCTTGATCAGCATTTTAGTGTAGCAGCATCCATCCTGCAGTATATCAATAGAAAAGTTGGAACAATTTTCCAACTTCCTCCCAACATGGCCTACAGCCGGGGTGACTGGAAATCTGGTGATCTGAATACATCTGGACTGACTCATGTAAGGGTAGGCTAAATTAATGCTACAACAGCAGCGTCTCAGAACAAAATGTTGCCGTCAGTTTCAGAAATTATCCTGCATCTTCTGACTAACAGACATTCCATCATGATATGTTGTAAGAAAACAGTTGTTGAGATGTCCCAAAGATGCTTTTTCATGAGGCAACTGGACTTTCTTGTATTTCTTTGAGGACATTCGCTTCTCCTCTAAGAAGCTCCTTCAGCTCTTCAGTTCTTCACTGAAAATGGGAGGGAAAAACAGGAACTAGACAAATCAGCTGGAAATACTTTGCTATATAGATAGAAAAATATTGGATTAATCAAGTATTCTGGGACTGGATTTCATTATTCAATTACTCTCAATTTTAATTCTAAGATTGTTTAGATTTGGGGAGTGACTTCCAAACAGAACAAGCATTCTTGCTTTTTTGTCTTACATCCTATTTACATTCTTCTCCATCTGCAAACAGATGTCAGAGCAGTCTGATGGAGCTTTCAATGATACAGAAACAAGTAGCATCTCTTCCACACCCAATTCGAATGTAAGTACATTCATAATTTATCATAAGTCTTACACAGCTATGACAGTTGCAGTTGTACAGTTGCGTTCATTAAGTTGCACTTATACAGATTCCTGTTGAGGTATGTGCCCTAGACGTTTTTAATGTTCCAGAGATGCTTCACAAGCCACAAGCAATAATTGCCGCCATACGGTTGCCAAACTTGGAAAAGTGGGGAGAGTCTGTATTAAAGGAGTGACCTACCTTGTTAGCCAAAGAGATGAAAGCCAAAAGCCCCAGAATTTAACCATCTTGTTTTTGCGTTGCAGATGTTTGTGGCCACTGTGCTTCAAGAGCCAGAATTAAGTCTTACGCCAGCAGCTTCCCCAGCTCATCAGTCTTATGGCACGATGGGAGGCCGCCTGGAGCAAGCAGAAAATATAGAGGAAGGTGGCATGCCAAGTTTTGAAACAGAACTGGAAAACACAGAAGGCAAATATAGAACCGGACCCATGCTGGACACCCAAACACATTATCATTGATTTCATCCTGTCAAACCAAAGATAGATGGACAGAAGTGTTGAATCTTCAGAATGCTGGAAAGAAGCATCATAACCCAAAATCTAAAAAGCCCCAAGCTGCTACACCAGATAGTTTGGGGGAAAGACCTGAAGTTGTAATTTGGACCAGAACCAGTCAGGCAGATGGATGATGGGCCTTTTTAAGTCTTAACATCTGTGGGTCATGCTGTTAGAATGGTGGATGCAAAACATTGAGATGTTGAGCACAGATACAGACTACTGAGATATTCTGAAGAGATAGTGTTATTTCTATTCTATACACCAGCTGCTTAGCAGCATGTTCTATACGTTACCTCTGTTCTGCTCCAGGTTGACAGACTGCCATTGTTTGGCTCTTTCTGAGTATTCTGGTAAATCATCTGAATTCTCAGTTGTTCCATATTCTCTTCCTCCCTCTGCCCACTATTTTGCTTTTTTTAAAAAAATACTTTGGTCATATGAAGATACTTCTCTAGCTTGAGCAATCTTCTCATGGCAGCAAAAAGAAAGAAAGGACTGTTTTGATTTGATCAGTGCAATGTCCATAATAGCTGTGATCCTTTCTATAAACCATTAGTGAAAGGGGTAAAGACATATGGAATGCTGAGCATCCTTGGATATACATTCGCAATCACTGCAAATCTCAGTATATTGCCAACTGCAGAACCAAAGGCCTCTGTTTTCTGAATGATCGAATAATGCTTCTGCTGCAGTTACTGCTTTTTTCCAAATCCATTGCCTGTAAGAAAGATTTCCCGGCTAATTCGATTGAAGTGACAAGCCTAACTTGTCTCTGTTTTTCGAGGCCTGCCTTTGGCTAGTTTCTGGCTTAGCAAGCAGAAGAATGCTATTTTCCAATTTTGCATTATTTTGGATCAGATGAGGTGGAAACTTCCCCATTCCTGGTTCAACAACAGATTTCAATATGGGAGAAGGGGAAAAGGGATTTCTAGTGCTAACAGGTAGAGCTATGTGTATAAAAATCTGGCCCAGTTTCCTATAAACCAGGGATAGGAAAAAGTTGATCATCAGACAATTTAAGGAAAGGCGAAAGGTTTAACCTATGTCAACCATATATTTTTTCTTTAATAGGGGAATTATTTGTACAATTGAAGAAGAACCAGATTTAAACACATGACTGTTCACTAATCACATCTAGAGTGGCATTAAGTTGATAGTAGAAACTGGAGTGAAGTGGCAGGTAGAGGTAAAGTCTCTGTCCTTAAATAATGCATTGTCCTTTTTGCACCAGCATGTTTGAGGTTGCCAATTGCCAACTGGCATGATGTCCCATGCCTAAATTTGGAAAGTCCCAAAGAAGACAACTAAATAATACATATGCTTTTCAGAATGGCTTTCTGTTAGACATGTGCATGGGAATAGATCAGTTTCCTTTCAAAGCTACCACTATAAGAACAACACTACTTCTAATTAAACTGCATTCAAACATTAACCAGTTAGATCATGGTCGGGAATTTGTGTACCTTTCCTCCAGTAGAGATGTACTGTAATCCCAGGAAGTATCATCGAAGGTGAGGGATACTGTAAGCTAGAGACACACAGGTTCTTCAATCTGCATTAGGCCATTGTTTCTCACAGCACCATTCTGCTAGTTCCTGGCTCTAATGGATTGTGTACTTTTCTCTTGAACTGTGTTGTAAGACCTACAATGGAGCAATCTGAAAATGTCTAAGAGATGAATAATGCTATTAAAAAATACATAGAAGGGAAAGTTCATAGGTGATTTGAAGAAAATCACCACCCTCTTTTTTCACAGGATTCTTATGCTTTGAATAACTACCAATCCTGTAAGTAATAAGTGAAATGTTCCTAACTTAATGGATGTTATAAATGGAGAAAACACACTGCATAATACTAAACTGCTGTACCGAACAGGTTTTCCCTGATAAATGTTTTCCTGTTCTACAATAGTAAAGGAAACAAAAAGACAGAAAACAGAAATTTGACTAACTGTGGATTTCTCTTCCAAGTTTAATAGAGAGCAGTCCTCAGGTCAGGATGACATCTCCAGTTGGAATAAGCAGACCTGTCCATTTCTCTCCAATGGAGGAGCCACCTGGACTTTTATGTGCTTCAGCCATTTCTGAGATAACAGAATTCGAAAACTGAAGAAATATTGCCACTGAAAAAAAGAGACTGGTGAGCTCAGTAGAAGTTTGGAAACAAAAAAAAAAAATCAAACCAAGGACATAAGTATCTGCCACATAATGTTCCTACTGCCTCCACATGTGTAAAACATTAGCAGAAAAATGTGAAGTATTAATGCTGGAATAAAAAGCGGCTGGTTTGTGTATAGAACAGAAATTCACCACAAACCAAAATGTTCCTTTCTCCTGAGCTTCACCAAGGATATTCTTTGTCTCAGTAAATATCAGTGCAATGAAACAGAATTTCCAGCATCGTTTAACATTACCGTGTTTTGAAGAACTTCATAACTCAAGGCTTCTTTGCCTTTAATGAAATAGGAATTATACAGTGGTAAAGAGAAGACATAGCTTTGGATCATGGATATCCACAATGTCTAGCTGCTCGACTCAGGTTGGATCAATTCAACAATTCAGAATTGCTCCTCCCTCAGATAATCATTTTGAGAAGTGAACCCTCCATCTTCACTCTGGTTGAAAATACTAGTCTCAAGCGAGGAATGATCTCTCTCGAGCTCAGAAGAAAACCTGATTTACATAAACCAAGGTTGGTTCAGGGCAGGGAGAAAAAAATCATCCTAAACATAAGCCTTGAAAATTAAACTTTCACCTAAAAATAATCTTAAACAAGAATGCTTTTGAAAGCACTGAGAATTGCTGTTTAGAATCTTCAGTGATTGATTCAGTAATGGTACAATACTACACTTCAGAATTGCCTGTAACTTTTGACACTCCAGATGCTATTGATCTATAATGATTATAATCTTTCCAAATTGGCCATGCTGTCTAGACTCAATGGGAAGTGGAATTCAGCAGCATCCAAAGGCACACATTAATTGTCCCTGCTCTACACATTTAACTTGGGATAACCTTCATTAAAAACGCCATTGGATGTTACATTAAATTGGCAAGGCAATGTTGTGTGGTAAGTATATTTTCGTTTATAAATAGCTATGCTGCATTTAGAGGGGAAGAATTTGTACCTGAGGAGAACTGAGGATTTAAAGAAGAAAGATTTAATTCTTCCTTTTCTGCCCTTTTCACCATTTAAAGTGTAGACACGATACCATAATTGCTGTTGGTCTCAGAGAAAGGAGACTGCTTGTCATAAACTAAGAAACCTTGTTTGCAAGGAATTGGCAGACTTACTGTAGATCCTCTATCATTAAGGACATGTTACTTGAATTTTACTGATATGCCCTAGGTAGCTTGGACACAAGTACATTAAAATCAGCCTTCCTTGACTTGGCATTGCGACACACTAGCTGGGAGTTCACCCCAATCATATTTGAAAGGTACTCAGTGGGAAAAAGCTACAATAAAAACTGTGTGTATATTTTGTAGAGTATACATGAACCCCAAGTCTGAATCTCAACCCTTATGTATGCAGTGTTCATGTTTCTTACTGGTTTGCTGAATTTTACCCATGTTCTGCATTTGTAGGGAACATTAAACTATAAATTAGTCATAAAGGCTGGGACTAAAAACTGCCCCAATTTTCACTCACCTATCAAGTGCTGTGGATATATATATACATATTTTCATAGTATGTATTAGGTGTGTGTCATGTATGTGTTTCACTTTGAGAGCGGGCAACTAAATTTCATTTTTGATGTGTGCCATTGTGCCCACAGTATAAAAATGACAATAAAGGTTATCTTATCTAAACCTCAAAGGAGCAGAAGACACCAGTTCAACCTGCTGCCTCTGAACCCTCCAAGTTGCAATCCATGCAGCAATCTCTTATATCAAGTGAGTGCATAGGAATTTGATCTCATTGTAGAAGGGCCATGAATAATCCCATATCTCTCACTTAGACATGCAAGAAGATGGAGACATTGCTGCCCATTTTTATAAGCAGCAACAGTATATTTTTAAAATGTCCAGATTATTAAGGACCTCAACATGTGTCTTGAAGCAAAAGAAGAAGAACGATTTCTAATAGTAAGATGGGGTGGGGACAACAGACTATAAAGACAGAGTAGGGAACACATGGAGATGAATTATCTTACTCTGGTATAGTTTCACACAGCACAGTAAGGAAATAATCCATACTGATCAGTTTGCCCCATTCGCTGATGGCATTACAAGCAGGACCATCACTTTAATGTTTTTGTTTAAGGAACCACTAATACTGTGATTTCAGATACGATAGCTGTTTCTCTCCAGAAATGCTTAGCAGAAAGCTGAAGAACATGTGCATACAACTGTCAGTATACATTAATTTTCCCTATCCTGGGGCCTTTAATAGTCCCAGCACTATTGTGCCCCAGGACTCCAAATAGATATTGTTGATGGTTGACTAGTCTAAACATCTACACAGTTGAATGGCCTAAAAATTAGTTCCAAAGTAGGGCTATATGCATGTATATTTATAAAGTAAGATTCCCTATACCAAACTGTTGTGTGTAGAGCTATTAAGTGGGCATGTCTATTCTACTGCCCTTGATTGACTTCTAAATTTCCCACACATGGAAGTATTAGCCTTCATTCTCTTACAGAGATGCCCCAGAAAACTCATCAGATCTGCAGACTAAGATAGTACTTTAATAATGACATTTTCCGGGATGGAGAAGGAAGTTGTGTTTCTATTTGATCATGACAGCCCAAGAGTAGCATAAAGCGACCCAATGTGTCTAAGGAATTCATCCACATATAGGCTCTGTATTTCTTTGATTCACCACTGTGCCATTTCCTCTTACTTCCAGAGAGGCCTTCTACCATGGTCACTTTCCCACAAAATGATCTTTGCCTATTCACATGCTAATCTAGCAAACTTCCAGTCATCTCCTTTCTTAGCTGCTCTTATTTCACAAATGTCTGTGGACAGAAAATGGTGTCTTCAGGAAAGAGATCTCTTGTCTTTTCCTGGACCGGCTTCAAGAGTTCTGAATTCTGTTTATATTTACCACTATGACTGTGCCTTAAATAAAGTTACTTCACCCAGCTGGCCTCTGAACTACACCTTTTAATATGGATTGAATTGTACATTTTAACACAGAGTAATACGTGAACAGAAACCCTTGTGAAGCTGATTTCCTTGGAAAATCTTATTTTGCTTTATTCAATAGGATACTGAGACATCAATGTACCAAGTATAAGAGCTCCAATAGTTCTGATTAGTTGTATCTTTAAAAATCAAACATCTGATTCAATGGAAATGATTGGAAAATCACAGTCTAATCCATAAATTAATGGTGGTAGAAAAGAGAGAAAAGCAGTAGTAGGACAATTTACACCAGTTATCTATGGTAACTGCCTATGTTAAAGGTTTTGCATAACCATCTGTACATCATCAAACTGACCAACAGAACCTGCAAAAAAATCACCAAAATCTTGCAGTGTAGATGTTGTAGATGTTGAACTGTTCTAGCCAATGATGATGCCTATCAAGCTTTTACATTCTATCTCCTTTCTTTCTCGCTTTTTATTAACCTTCCTGTATCTGATTTGATAGGCACCGTGCAGAGTGCCAAGCTAATTGAGTGGCAAAACCAGATGCCTAAAATAGGTCAAAGTTGGGTCAGGTACTATACCCATCACACAAAAGATTGAATAGTATCTTGTAGGCTATCCTGAACCCATGGTATCTGATCATAAACATTTCTCATTTATCGATTTCTTAGTAAATTTCTAGCCCCAACTTTGCTGGCATAATTTCAGCCCCATCCCTTTCCACTTAAACTTTGCTGTAAAGAAAGCAATCTCATTTCTCATGTGAATGCTAAAGACGAGAAAGTCTTTATACAATCATTTTTCCTCATTCAATTAATGAACCAAGCTTGAAATGCTTCTATAATGAAAGCTTTATTAAAATTTCAGGACTGCCAAGAGAGTCTGAAATTTCCTGAAATGGTTCTGCCAAATAAGACAAAGGGTGAATTAGGAAGTTCTGTATTTCTCAGAAAGCAGAGGTAGGAGGAAGATTGCAGAGAGAAATTGGTACCAAGGGAGGGAGGGGTACAATAAATCTTGCAGCATCTTTCAATTCTTGCATGCAGCTGTAATCCCACCCCAGCAATCTTATACTATTCTGCCTTTAGCCAAAGTGTGCCCAGCAAAGACAGACATGTAACCTTAGACCACAATTTGCAAGGAAGAGTTGTGAGGTTACACACTTGACATAAAGTCCCCAATTCTCCCATATAGTATTCTTTCTTAGTCCGTTTTGCTATTCTAACACCTCTACCTAATTGAAATAAGCAATAAGAATATATTGCCATCCCCCTTAACTTTTATGAGATCGAGGTCAAATAACTACTGATTTAAGTCTTCTCATTTGAATTCCCCAAGCAATATGGAACCCTGGGTAAACACATATTGTATATAAATTCTAAACTCTTGCTTGATTCCAACAAGAGCAGAGAAGTTCCCTATAGGAAAAGGTATTCTGTCACACTTCCAAGGGAAGTGGGCAATTTAACTTTCTTTTCTTTGCAAAAGCAAGAGTTGGAGATCCTGAGTTCACCCAAATGCTTCCTAGAAGTCAGCCCAGCTGGAGAAGGGGTGGAAGTAGCAACATCGTTAATCTATATTGTTTTGATTTTAAGACTCCTTAGGTCCTCTAAACCTTGTGAGGCTTAAATTATTAAGTACTGCTTATGTCAAGCTAATAATGTGGTGATTATAATACCCAATTAGCTAACAAAAGAACAATCAGAATCCAATTACACTAGAAGGGAAATCTCTAAAGAAAGAAACAAAAAGCTGTAAAAAAAAAGTGAGGTG